GGATACAGATACATAAACATAAGCAAATATAAATCTAACTAGAATCTCAGCACAATGAGGTCATTGCTATTTCCCACCACTATCAACTCTCTTTTATTATTATAAAGGAGTGCTCCCAAGGTGGGGCAAAAATAATCTGTGGTCCAAGCTTTCTTTGGTTTATTACCTAAATTGCTCTGGAAAATTTCCTTTCTGGTTTTGTGTTTGTTTAGCAGGTTCTTTACAATATATGTGTGACTAAAATCATTTTAACAGCCTTAATTGTACAACAAGGGTAACGATTCTGCAGATCTTGTGACAACATTCCTTTGCTCTGTATGAGTTTATTTAATTTCTTTTCAGTGGTTGATATTTGAACCTCTTTCATTTACAGTAGATCCAGCTACACAGTTCACAAAAGTGCCTGAGCAGGTTCAGGAGGGGTTAAAGAATGTACTGCTGATATAAAAACTGCCACTCTGTTATGTAATCTATGCAATCTTGTAGTTGAATCTGGGTTCTTGTGAAATTATCAAATGACTAGGGAATATGATATGTGATTGGGAAGTAATATAAAAGAGTTGTACATATTACCACATCTATACATTTTGTTCCATGAACCTATTATGATTTTTTGACAAGAAGCAGCAATTTCCAAGTTTTAGATATTTAAATGATTTAACTTTTTGTTGTTCTTGTCTTCATTATTTTATGAAGTACAGGTTGTGGGTTGTGTCTAAAATATGTCATTATGTGAATTACAGATAAAAGTGAATGCAACGGATACATTAATGAACACACAGGGAAATGCCAGGAGAATTAGAAGTCACAGTAATTTACAAAGGATACAATGATTAAATTTTTTGTTTTGTTTTGTTTTTTGTTGTTGTTTTTGAGACAAGGTCTCAATATCCTTGGGTGGCCCGGAAACTCACAGAGATCTGCCTCTCAAATATGGGAGTCAAAGGCATATACCATCACACCTAGCTGATTTTGACTTTGTTGTTTTGAAGCAAGGTTTCATGTGGTTCAGATGGTCTTTTTTTTTTTTTAAGATTTTATTAATTTATTATGAATACAACATCCTGCCTCTATGTATGCCAGCAGGCCAGAAGAGGGCACCAGATCTCATTACGGATGGTTGTGAGCCACCATGTGGTTGCTGGGAATTGAACTCAGGACCTCTGGAAGAGCAGTCAGTGCTCTTAACCTCTGAGCCATCTCTCCAGCCCCTCAGATGGTCTTGAACTTCTGATTATCTCCCAGGCACCAGGATGACTACACACACTTCCACATCTGCCTGGTTTCTTGTTTTCCTCTTGATACAGAATCCCATGTGCTTCTGATTCTCCCGCTTCCCCCTCCTGAGTGTTGGGGTTACAGGCATGCACCCTTGCATTCAGTTCACTAGTTGTTTTATTTCATTAGACAGGGTGTCCTGTAACCCAGGGTAGGGTCACATTGGGTGTACAGCCATGGAGACCTTGAACTCCTGTTCTTGTCTCTGCTGGGATTGCAAGCGCATAAGTGCACTCCTGCACACACTGTGTGCAGAGCAGACAGTTGAACCAGGTTATCCTCCGTTTCAGGCCATTTCAGCCCATTCTAGGCAAACACTCGACTGAGCTATGGTAGTCTTGTTTTTATTGGAGACAGAGTTTCTCTATACAGTTCAGTCTGGCCTCAAACTCACTACATAGTCCCAGCCAGCTTTGGACACTTGTCAATATTCTCGCTCAGCATTTCTCTGTCCTAAGAATCCGGTATGAGCTGGGTGGTGGTGGCGCACACCTTTAATGCCAGCACTCGGGAGGCAGAGGCAGGTGGATCTCTGTGAGTTCGAGACCAGCCTGGTCTACAGAGCGGGTTCCAGGACAGGTTCCAAAGTTACACAAAGAAACTCTGTCTCAAAAAAAAAAAAAAAAAAAAAAAAAGAAAGAAAGAAAGAAAGAAGAAAAAGAAGAAAGAAAGAAAGAAACCCTGTCTCCAAAAAAAATAAAATAAAATAACAAAAAAAATTCAGGCATGAATGAATCACTGCTCTTGGTTCATTAGAATTAAGTTACTGAAATTGAAAGGAATAAAATGAAATCTAGGGTTTTTTTGTTTTGTTTTGGTTTTTTTGCTGTTTGCCTTTTGCTTTTACTGTTGTTTGAGACCAGGTCTCAAACTGTAGTCCAAATGCAAGCTCAGGTTCATAATGATCCTCTTGCTCCAGTCTAGTAAGTGTTTGCATTATAGATGTGAGCCATGTTTGGCATACATCTGGGTTTCTATGCTGCTACAAAGCAGACACAAAAACATCTTTTTCTAAATAGTTTTTCAGGCCTGGTAAGATGCGTAATGAGTGTTGGTACTTGCCACATGAATCTGGAGACCTGAATTTGATCCTTGGAACTCAATAAAGGTGGAAGGGTTTCACGAAGTTGTCCCCTGATTCAAAACATGCATCCTGGCACATTTTCCCACATGCACATACAATAATAAGTAAATTTTAACAATTCAATTGAAACGTTTTTTTTTTAAAGAATGTGTCTGTATTCATTTAGTTATAACAAATGCTATTCATGGTGGCTCATGCTTATAATCTCAGCACTTGGAGGCTGGGAAAGAAGGATCACTGGGTGTTTGAGGACAATCTGATCTACATGCTGAATGTCAGGGCAACCTAGGCTACAGAAAAAGATGCTGTCCCCCCCCAAAAAATATATATACATACACACACACACACACACACACACACACACACACCACAGAGCTTTTAGTGCAAGGCCTGCTGGGGTGATGGGTCTTGGACCTGTGGAATCCCAATCTAGAGAATTAACTGTCAAAGCCAAGCCAAACTTTGGAGGATCCCTTTTCATTTTGCTTTTCTCTAATCAGAGGAAACTGGATAAACTAGAAAGTATAAAGGAAAAAAGTCAATAAAGGGCCGAGAAGAGCTGAAGAAAGGGGAAGAGGCCTTGACACTTGACTTGTTAATGAGGGCTAGAAAGGGGATTTCCTATACCCTAAGTGTGTTTCAGTCTCACAGTTTGGGGAAAGGAATACGCTCAGTGATTCACCCCGCTTTCTCGGTACTGTGGCTTAGTCTGGTGCACTGCAATTTCCTACTCATGTATTATGTAGTGACTAATGGAAGGGCTAGGTCAGCAGCCAATGTTTTACTCCAACTCAAAGCTATAGATTTCAATTGGCCTTAGTCTGTTGGGCAATAGGAAGCTTGAATCTTCTCTTATCAAATGAGTGGGGATCTCAGAAGTTATGTAGGGACTTCCCTTGGGATTTGTTACAACAGAGGGCAGTGGTCATAGAAGTTTGAGGGTAGTTTCCTGTTTTGCTCTTCTATATCTTGGGGTGGCCCTGAAAATCTTTCTTACCTCTGACGGAGGAAAATGCTCACAGGGTTGATTAATTATCACTAAGAATTCACTGAAGAAAATTGGGCAACCTCTATCAGATGTTTAGATAAAAGGATAGGTAGTTTCTGATGACACAGTGTAAATGCTAGGTCTGTAGGTGAAGCTTGTCCACTCAGGAGAGACCTTTCCTTAGAGATTCTAACCCAACACCAGCATTCCAAGTCCTCCTGATGAAGTGGCCAGATTCACACGGGCCAAAGCTTTGTTACGGATTTACACATATCTATAACATTGACAGGGTTTCAGGGTTTGTGACTAGTTTTGTAGACATAGAAGTACAAATCAAGCCATCTTGAATACCTCAAAAACCTTGCCCATGTAGCTGCTGGCATCAATACTCCACACAAAATTAAAAATTATTTCCCAAGATGCACACCCTGTGCTCCAGTTGATATTTTAATAACTTGATTAAAAATTTCCCAGAAGTCTATTAGAGTCAGGAAACAGTCTGTGGTGTAGGTAAGGATTTGTTTTTGCAATGGAAACTTTTAGCCCCCCAGGAGCAGACTAGCCAAAACCCCTCATTTACATGTTTATCCTCCATCCTCACTTGAATGTACAATGAAAAGTGAAAACCTGTTTGGTAGACTTTTTTTTTTAGGTTTGCCTCTCTCTCAAACAGTCAGGTGAACTCACCGGATCCAATTTTCAAATTGTCTTTTTTCCACTCTTGAATAAATTTGGGCATTCACTATCAGAGACAGACATTATTATAAATAAAATTAAAAAGGCATGGTGGTACTCTCTTGTAATAGGAGCATTTGGAAGGCCGAATCAGGTGGACGGTCTAAATCTACAAAGTGAGTTGCAGGCCACGTAGACCTACATAGCAATACCATGTGTCTAAATAAATTAAATGCAGTAGCCATAAACATTGTGTGGACCATATAGGGGATATATTTTAATTAAAACAACCAATAGCCTGGTGTATGCCTGGCAGAGGCAAGCACAGCTCTCTGACTTTGAGGTCAGCCTGGTCTACATGGTGAGCTCCAGGTCAGATGGGGGAAAAAAAAATCAACAAAAACAAAAAAATCCACAAACAAAAAAACCAAAATTCAATAACTTGGGGAGTGGGTTAGAGTATGGTTTGCCCTTTCTTAATTAAAAACGAGTCTGCTACTCCTTGGGCCAGCTCACTGCAGAAACTGCTATGAAAAGCCCCGAAGGGCTGGGTTGCTGTCCAAGTCATGGAACTCCAATCCCCTGTGCGAGCTCAAGCCTGCTGGCCTCGGTCGCGGCTAGTCTCTGGAGGTCTTTCCCCTCCTAGCAGACATCTGTGCTCCCCAGGGTCGGTGTCCTCCTGCGTACACCATGGTTCAGGGCCGGCCGCCTCAGGCTCGCCGCCATCAGGTCGTGGCAAAAATCTCTTCCCTTCTTGGGGCCCCAGAAGCCAGGCCGCCTCCCTCCTCCCTCCCTGCTGGCGGGGCCCTTTCCCAGCCCGGGATCAGCAGCAGCCACGGCAGCGACGGCAGGAAGCGAAGCCCTTGTTGATGCTGTTCCGTGGCGCGTCTGTCCGCCCTCCGGTAGCCTCTAGGCTCTTCCGGGCTCCTGGAGTCCCCCCTCCGCGCGTGCGCAGTGCCTCACGAGGGGGCGGGGCTCAGATTCCTGTCAGCGGCGGCGGCGGTGGCGGCTGCCGTCAGTGTGCGCTGAGGAGAAGCCCGAAACGGACTCTTTGGCTCTCCCTCTCCCCTTCCCCGCCCGAACCTTCTTCTCTCTGGGCTCACCGGGAGTCCGATCTCTACTCCGCAGAGCTGCTCTCCACCCCGCCGCCGCTCTCGTCGCTCGGCCGGGTGGGAAGTGACTGCCCTCGAGGAGGAGGAGGAGGAGGAGGCAGCGGCTGCCGCCCTCGCCTCGCCGCCCCCGGTTCGGTGCCCGCGGTCCCGGAGAGGAGGTGCCGCCGCCACCGCCGCTCCCCCCCCCTCCCGCTGCCCTCGGGCCGGGCTGGGTCGAGCTGCGATGCCCTCGGACTTCATCTCATTGCTCAGCGCGGACCTAGACCTGGAATCGCCCAAGTCCCTGTACTCGCGAGGTGAGTCAGATGGGGGGGTGGGGCGTGGGGGCGGGGAGCGCGGGCGCGCGGAGTCCCGGGGGTCCCCGTCGGAGCCCGGCTCAGCCGGGGCTGCCCCTCACGAGAGTCCCGGGCTGGCCCCGGGGCGTCACGGAGGGCCAGGGGTGGTTTGAGAGCTGCCGAGCGGTGGCCCCTCCCCAGCGCTGCGCGGGGCGCCCGGGGGCTCAGGTTCCGGGTCCCCCCATCCCCCCGAATCCTCTGCGGCCCCGGAGGTTCGCATCCTGACGGCCGCCGCACCCGGCTCCGCCACCCTCTGCCGGCTGCCGGCCCAGTCCTTCCCCCGGCTCGGGAACACCCCGCTGGTCCCGGTGCTGGGGCGCCAGGGGGGTCCCGACGTCACGGCTCCTGTCTCCCGGTCTCTCCTCCCCGGCAAAGTTGCCCCACGCTGGGCTCTGTGGCCCCAAGCGGCTTCCGAGCTCAGGGTCACCATTTTTTTTCCCTCCCTCTTTCGGCTTGTTTGTGCGCGGTCGTCCTACCCCCCCCTCCGGCCTAGTCCACTCCCTCCCCATGTCGGGACGGCCCCCCTCGACCAGGCAGGCGTTCTTCCTCTCCTCGTCATCGTCTTGCCTGGAAAAGGCCCGAATTTTCTTTTTTTCTGTCTTTTCACCTCCGTGGCATTCTAATTACTTCTTTTACAAATATAGGGATGCCCTCCCTGGATTACTTGTATTCCTCTCCCTGGAGTACCAGGCTCGGGCACAGTCCTGCCCTTAGAGAAATTTCTCTTCTTTGCTGTTCAAGGGCTCCTTGCAGAGAGGAGGCAATGAACAGAGAGCTCCCCATTTAAAACGATTTTGGCTAAGGTCTTCAGGGGATTCCCAGCATCTAAAACATTAACACTTGAGGTGATCTCTTCTGGGGTTAAATTCCTACACTGGACACCGCAAGAATGTGTCAAAACAGGTTCTCTTTGCAAGGGGTATCAAACCAAAAATACCCACGTTTGCACTCATCACAACTTTTTATGCCAGTGGAAGGGGCAAAAGACCGTTCTTAATGATTCATTTATGCTTTAAAACACCACGGTGAACCTCTTTCCCAAGAAATCCAGCATTTCCCCTGTTTTTAGTTTTACATATCCACTAGGTAATTTCACCGAGGGACTTAAGCCTGGCATTAGTGTTTTCATATTTTTTAAGTGAATCAGAGGGATATGGTTTACCCTGAAAGGTGCTGACTTTATATTGAGTTTGTACACAGAGCTCTACTTAGTAACTGTTAGGTCATTGTTGCTCTAATGACTTTAGTTGACAGTTACTATCCTGTAGGATATTTCCCAGATATTATATGAAATAGCTTAGAAATATTGTAGTTTGAGGTGTCAGAAAATATCGAGAGATGAGCTTTAAAAGAATAAGGCTAATGTACAATTGAAATGCTAAAAATAGTCAAGACAGTAACACCATTTGGGCAGTAATCATCAGATAATTTTCCATGAAACAAATGCTTTATCAAAATCTAAGTTTAACTTAAAGACCAGTGTAGAAGCAACCCAACCATCCTTTTGCAGGGAATAGACTAAATTAATATGGGCTTAAGCTCTTAAAAATACATAATAGTTATATAAGAGATGTATGCTATCCTTGGCATTTTTTTCTCATTCAGCATAAAAAGTACTTAATGCTTTTTGTGTTTTTCAGATTCTCTGAAGTTACACCCATCACAGAATTTTCATAGAGCTGGACTATTGGAAGGTCAGCAGAATGCCATTTTACAGCATATTGTGTTAGTATGCAAAGGCTTTCTCTGAGATGGAGTTGAAATGGAAAAGTGGGAAACTTTGCAGACTCACACAATTTAGATTTTTTTTTGCTAAGGAGACTGATCCTTCTTTTAGAGCAGCTAAATGTTTCAGTGGATTTCATTGTTGTGCTTGAAGTGCTTGTAGGCCATTGTATCTGCTTTGAGAGGCCTTGGGGAAATCCCTCACAATCGTTTAAAATTATGTGTTGGGTGTTCTACTTTAGAATTTCAGTTAATTTTTTTGACACAAGTGAATTTGAAAAGGTTCAAGCATAAAGATGATTAATAAATACAGCAGTGACACCAAATACAAACTTAGTTTGAAAATTCCAAATTGAAAACTTTTGGATGTTATGAGTTTCAAAATGATATATAATTTATTTACCAATTATTGATGTGATTTCTATATCATTATGTCTAAGGATGAAAAAAGCCAAGTAATAGAGATGATTAAACTATACTTAGAAAAAAAGGCCCATAGAATGTTCTGGATAAGTTAATAGGTTATACTCCTTAAATAGATGACAGTTGCTTTAAGAACTTTTTTTTTTTACTTTACACTTACCATCTTTGAATTTTAGAGTCTTGGTATTAGATAGCAAGGATATTAATTATTTTCCCGTTATGTAGAAATGATAAAAAAACAAAAATAAGAGTCTTGGGGGGAAAGTTCAGCAGCAGAAACAATCCCTTCTGTGTTGTAGCCAAGTGTTACCCAAAGCCAAGTGCCACCATGAAATAAATATATGTATCCAGTGACAATACTTTATTATCTCTGAAGTACTTTATTATCTCTTTGAAAAGGGCTTTGAATATTTTTTGTATGACTTGAATATAGCTTTTGCTTTCCGAAGAGAAAGGTTGTTCTGTAGATACAGAGTGAGGGAAGAGAGTGTTGTAATTGAGCTTAGGTTTAAATACCAGCTTAGCAACTTCTTCAGTTCTGTGACCTGGGGCAAGTGATTTTACTAAACTTATTATTCCTTCTACAAAAGTAGGTATCTCCTTAGTTAGATAATGTGTATTAAAGTGCCTAGTAATAGTGTTTGGCTTTATTACTATTTTATTATTGGATAGTACTGGGGATTTATTTATTGACTTACTATTGTTTTTTGAGACAAGTCTCACTGTGTAGCTCTTTGATGTTCTGGAACAACTCTCTATATGGACCTTACTAACCTGGAACTTAGATCTGCCTGCCTCTGCTTTGAGTGCTGAAATTAAGAGTGCCACAATGCCCAGCAGTACTTGGGATTTAACCTGGGACTTCAAGAATGGGAGGCAAATGTTCTCAGTGAACTATGTGGCCATAGCAGGGAGTATCACAATCAGAGAGATTATCTATCAGGGAAAATATTAATTACTTAAGGATGTATTTTAGAAATGTTAAGTTTTTCTTTTTTGGTGTTTGTTTTTTAAGATTATTTTTATGTGTATGCATGTTTTGCCTGCCTGTATGTCTGTGTAGCATGTGTGTGTGCCTTGTGCTGACAGAGACCAGAAAAGAGTGTTGGATCCCCAGACACTGGAATTACAGATGGTAGTGAGCTGTCATGTATGTGCTGGGAATCAAAATTGGGTCCTCTGGAAGAGCAGCAAGTGTTCTGAGTCTTCTCTCCAGTCCTCTAAAAGTTAGTTTTTTAACTTTAGCATCAGCTAAATTGTTTCTACAATATAATCTAGAGTATATAAAAGGTTCTCAAATATTTATTGATTATATTTGTATATAAGAAGCTTTTGTGTGTGTGTATTAATTTGAAGATGTTTTAAAAGTATAATCTGAAAAAAAGAAACATTTTTTTTCTGGAGATAAAATCTCTATGGAGCCCCTGGAGGTCCTAGAACTAACTCGTTATATAGACCAAGCTGGCCTCAAGCTTGCATCCTCTGTCTCTCAAGTTCTGGATTAAAGCTGTGTAGAAGTGGGTTTTTTGTTTGTTTGTTTGGTTGGTTGGTTTTTGGAGACCGGTTTCTCTGGCTTTGGAGACTGTCCTGGAACTAGCTCTTGTAGACCAGGCTGGCCTCGAACTCACAGAGATCCTCCTGCCTCTGCCTCCCAAGTGCTGGGATTAAAGGCATGCACCATCAACACCCGGCAAAGTGTTTCTTAATGAAGAAGATTTTTAGGTTTTTGTTCTTACTGTTTATGATGATGTCAGACCATATTTGTCTGCACTGCCCTCTCTTTCCTGGCAACAAACCCAGGGAGTAGCATAATCAGAGAGATTATAAGACAGGGGAAAGATAGGGAAATTGTGTTAAATATTTAATGAGGTATTTTCAATGAGTTTATAGAAATACTGATGTGCATCTTATATGTTTATACCTATATGCTAATTTTGTTTTGTTTTTGTGATTTTGAGACAAGGTCTCTCTGTGTAGCCCTGGCTGAATTTTTAGAGTTTTGTCTACTTTTCATTGTTTTTTTTTTTTTTTTTTTTTTTTTTTTGAGATAGGGTTTCTCTTTGTAGCTTTGGAGGCTGTCCTGGAACTCACTCTGTAGAACAGGCTGACCTCCAACTCACAGAGATCCACCTGTCTCTGCCTCCTAAGTGCTGGGATTAAAGGTGTGTACCACCACCACCCAGCCTCTATGTTATTTTTTAACTTCACCCTTTCACAGATTATCCATCCATCCCTCTATGTATATATATAAATATATTTTTTATATTTTTTAAAGTTTTTTTTTCTTGAAATAGGGTCTCTTTGTGTAGTCCTGTCAGTCCTGGAACGATCTGTAGATCAGGCCAGCTTCAAACTCAGAGATCCACATGCCTTTGCCTTCTGAGTGCTGGGGTTAAAGCATTTGTTGCCACAGCCAGACTCTGTACCATCTTTAATTTTTAATTTAGAAATTTTGCATTTGTTTGTGTGTATATACATGTACATATACATGCATGCCATGGAGGTCGTTGGTTCTCTCAACCATGTGGGACCTAGGACCTAGGAACCTTTTTTTTTTTTTTTTTTGGACAGAGTTTCTCCATGTAGCCCTGCCTGTCTTGAATCCACTCTGTAGACCAGGCTGGGATTAAAGTCGTGCACTGCTGCCACCTCTAGGGACCCAGGAATCTTAATTCTAGTAGTCTGGCCTTGTGGCAGGTGCCTTTACCTATAGATCTATCTTGGCCACCCTAACTATATCTTAAATAATGTATAAAAGCAGCAAGAATAAGACAGTGAGCCTATATGTACCCATCACCAGGCTTTAAGAATTTCAGTGTTGTTTCTTTTATATGTTCTGTTTCTCAAAGTTGGATTTTTTTGTTTGTTTTTGGATTATTTTAAAATAAATGCCAAATACTATAATCATTCCACACACAAACACTTTTACATTAGGGTGACTTCTTTTTAAAAAATTTCCTTTACTATTAAGGTATAAGATTATACTTATGTTCATCAGTGGCTTGCCTGCATGTTATATCTCCACACCATATTTGTATGGAACCCTTAATAAGCTAGAAGAGGGCAACATGTAGGTGCTGGGAATTCATTCCCCAACCTAGTCCTTTGCAAGTATAGCAAGTGCTCTTAACTTCAGAGCTATCTCTCTAACCCCAAAATAGTGTTTATTTTTACAACTTTTTTACTTAAATGTGTGTGAATTTGTGGGTACCTAAGGAGACCAGAAGAGGGCATCAAATCTGGAGCTAGAATTAGAGGTAGTTGTGAGCCATGTGATGCATGTGTGTGCTAGGGCACACATTTTGCTTCTTTGGAAGTACAGCCGGGACTTTTTTAAAAAAATTTATTATTTTTTTATATTTCAACCCTAGTTTCCCCTCCCTCCCCTTCTCCCGCTTCCCCCCATTCCCCTCCACCCCACCTCCCATCTGCTCCTTGGAGAGGGTAAGGCTTCCCCTAAGAAGGCTACTAAGTCTGTCCCATCATCTTGTTGAGGCAGGACCAGCTAGTATTTTTTAACTGCTGAGCTATGTCTCAAGCCCCATGGTGACTTCTTTTCTTCTTTGTCTTCATCTTCTCTTTCTTGAGATAAGGTATTACTGTGTAGTCTTAGCTGGCCTGGAATTCACTATGTAGAGCAGGCTACCTTTGAACTCAAAAGAGATTGGCCTGCTTTTCTGCCTCCTGAGTTTTGGCTTATTAAAGACATATTCCGTCATGCCTGGCTTTTTGTATTAATTTTTTATTGATCTTTTTGAGACAGGGTTTGTCTGTGTATCCTTGGGTTACCCTGGAACTCGATCTATAGATCAGGCTGGACTCAATCAAATACAGAAGATCTACCTGCCTATACCTCCCAAGTACTGAAAGTAAAGTAAAGGTGTGCACCATGACTGTCTGGCTTTGTATTAATTTTTTAGAATACTCTTTTATTTTAAGAACTATATATTCTAGTTCATTTCTTTTCTTGATTCTCCTTTACCATCTTTGCAAGATCGAGTATATTAGGAGGCTAATGCTTCTGGTGTGTATCAGTATCTTGTAATCTGTTAAAACTGCAGTCCAAGTATGTGAGGTGGGTGAGGCAGGAGGATTGCAGAGATGGAAACAAAGCTAGTAAGTTCTTGAAATTACACACACACACACACACACACACACACACACACACACACACACACACAAATCTCTCCAGCTGTATATCAAGAGCTTGCCATTGAATTATTACTAATATAATTAATATTATTATTATTATAATAAGTTTTTCAAGATAGGGTTTCACTGTGTAGCCCTGGCTGTCTTCGAACTCACTTTTGTAGACCAGGTGAGTTTTGAATTCACAGAGATCCACCTCAAGTGCTGGGATTAAAGGCTACCATCGGCTGGCACCACTGAATTCTTTCAAAACATTTTTACTTACTGCATGTGGCATAGTACACCTGTGGAGGTCAGACTAAACAGTTTTTAGGAATGAATTCTTGCTTTCCACCATGTGGTTCTGGGGATCATTCTCAGGTTGACAGGCTTGCTGGCAAGTGCCTTTACTTTA